ATGATGCCCAAGTTCTGACTCTGTCCTTGTTTGTGTGTGCATTCTTGCATAAAACAATGTTTAAGTGTGTACTGTATGTGTTGGGTGAGGCCTTTTTAGTAATGAATGTAGAGGCTGATGCATGTTAATAAAGTGTTTTGAAATACAAATCATAGCCCAGATTGTCTTTTTTTTTATAGATAAACTACAGTGAGGACTGGACAGTCACACTGTGGAAAATTCATCAGACAGACTTTTGGCTCTGTTTTGGTCTTCACCAGTTGTTGGAGGAGTTGCTGGTTCTTCTTCTGGTTCTGATAAATACTCCATTATGTTCACCTGGTTCATTTGTTCGGGGCTGGTAGTACATTTATGGCATGTACCCAAATCTAGGCCCAGTCTGTGCCCCTCAGGTATCACACACTACAGTGTCCTGAGATGACCTTTGTTGTGATTTGACCCTATACAAATTGAACTGAATTGTGGCCTGGATGGGAAACAAAGCCGTGGCTTCGGATTAAACCCCCTTTTAAATTGTGTAATGAGCAAAGCATTTGGTACAGATGGTTCTAGGACTTTTTTCAAACATTGCTGGTGGCCTTTTAGGAAAACTGATGACCAGAATGTATGCTAAATTATGAGAGGTTCAAACGGGAGTCTGTACAGACCCAGACCTTTAAGATTTTCCGCACATTTTCTTATTAAATAAGGTTATTAAAATGCAGGTTTAATTAAAGATTGTGAAATGTTTTTTGTTTCCGGAAAGACCTACAATATTTCAGCCAATTAAAACTCTGGAATATCAGAGTGGGGGAGGGGCTGGATTCAGTTTGAGTACAGCTTCTTGTGTAACACGGAATCCATAGGGTTTTGGAAATATTTTGATTTTGTGGTTAAAATAATGTGGCAGCTATTAAGTTAGACAGTGAACATGTTAAAGCAACTATCTAAGTCGGATATTTAAAGAAACCACGACATGAAGAGGGAGAAGTGCGCTAATCAAGCGAGGTTTTGCTAGCTAACGTTAGCTAAACCAACAGAGGGATGTTTTCAGCAACAAACTGGATTCAAACGCGGTCTTTAATGACCAACACTTGTCTGAAACTTAGTTGTCACTGGAACATGAACTGAAATATTAATTGGATTAACATCTCCATGTTTAACTCAGAGCCACAAGCCTGGCCTTGCTGACAGCGTGTTCCCACAAACCGTCCAAGGTAAGAGAAATACTCTCCTTCACCCTTGATGCTCCGCCGAATGCCAGTAAATTGTGGTTAATAATCATAAATATTAAAGTGCACGGAAGTCTTACGATTGTTGTCAAGATGTGTTAATGGAGTTTGTCTGCTTACACAAACTGTTAGCTTTACATTTAGTTGCCTGTTTGTAATAAGGTGCTTGGTGGTAGGATTTTTTTTTTAGATCTGGTTGGTTTTCTTTGGCTTTATTGTTTAGGTCATCTCACTTTTTTTTTTTAACTCTAAAGTACATATGGACATTAAAGTCTAAGTGTGTTCATTATCTGCTAGTAATGCCGACGAAAAAGAAGTATTTGGGGTTTGTTGTTTTGATGTTTTTTTCACATCTTCTACATCATAACGGATAAAATGGAGGATTTGGAAGTAAGCGAAAAAACCTGATCTTCGAGGGAATCAAGGAGTCAGCTGGAGAAAGTTGGACGGAAGCGGAATGTAAGGTGAAGGACATATTAAAGGAGAAACTGCAAATTCATCAAGAAATTGAGATGGAGCGGGCTCACAGAGTCGGGAAACCTTCTGATCGGGGACCGAGGGCGGTGATGGTAAAGTTGATGAAAGAGAAGGATAAAGCACACATACTGCAACAAGCAAAGAAGCTTAAAGGATCTAATATTTATATAAATGAAGATTACACCGAGTCTGTGAGGAAGAGAAGAAGGGAGTTGATGCCGATGTTAAGGGAGGCCAGGGCGAGGGGAGACATCGCGTTCAATGACAGACTAGTGACCAGACCTCAGAACCAGAATCCAGGACCCATGACCAGCACGCCGAGGACCAGTATGCCGAGACAAGGAGAGTATGAAGGGGTCGCTGGACCCTCAGCTGTATGAAGAAACAGGCAGGTATATTGATATCTGCGAGGGCAGATGAGCGTTGGAACCAACAATTAGCAGGAACCAACAACAAGTATGACCCACGTACGGATTTAGGCAAGTGATTTGCTACAGACGTTAATAGTTTTTGAGGGACTGGATCTCGAATTGAACACAATTGGAGACACTGAACAACATTATCATGAATCGGACGATGA